TATTTACCCAGTTACCCTTAAGATTTTGTATAAAATCATATACCCATATTTTATAATTTAAAAAAAAAACTTCTTTTTTGATACAGAAAATTAAAAATCCAAACTACAAAGGGAAATGGAAGATCCCTTATATCGATAATCCAGGTACTAAAATGCTATACATAACTCCATATTACTGTTTATAATGTTTATTACTTTTATATTAAAATTTTATGAAAATTGATTTACATTTTCTTTTTTCTTTTTTCACTTTGCTTAGAATTCGAAGATGATCCTGATTTATATGTGCTGAAGCCAATTAAATATGTGGGAATTGAGGTTTGGCAGGTATGTTTATTTATATAATATTTAATGACACAAATCCCTTTAAAATATTCATGATTTTAATTCGATTACAGTTTGATTTTCTCAAAATGTCCACAACATATATATATATATATATATATATATATATATATATATATATATATATAATTATATATTTATTTTTGTAAATTAAAAATTCATTTAGGAGTGAAGTTAAAAAAACTTTACATTGTTCACTTCAACCAAAAATAACAAGCAATTTTTCATTATATGTAATTTTGTCCTTTTCTAAATGAAAAAGTACATTAATTTTAATAAACTATACATTCTGTTTAAATATAATAATTAAAATTTATTTCAGGTAAAAGCTGGATCTGTATTTGACAATATTTTAATCTGTGATGATCCGGAGTATGCAAAAGAAGTTGTCAAAGAAATTTTCACCCATAGAGAGGTTTTTTCTCACCTTATTTTTTTTTTTTAATTATAAAATACAAAGCATAATTACATTAAATTAAATCAATTATTCAATTTTTAAAAAAAAATCAGATCGAAAAAGAAGCGTTAGAGGAAGCTGAGAAAGCAAAAAAAGCAAGGGAAGAAGAGGTGATTTACTACACTTATTAACCAATATTTTCATTTTATTATTTATTGATAGATTTTGTATGTTTATTTATTTATTTATTTAATTTAATTTAAACTATGAAAATTTCAGGAAGCAAAAAGAGCAAGAGAGGAAGGTGAAAAAAGGAAGAGAGATCGAGATTATGGTAGAAGACACAGAGATAAGGAGCGTTACAGGGACAGATACAGGGACAGATATGGAAAGGTGAAAAAGACTTAAATGCCCTTCTTATCTTTTCTTTTATTATACTATACAAAATTACAAATACAAATCTTGTTTTCCTTTTCTTGTAATCTGATCCTGGTTTTGACTTTTTTTTTTTTATCCACAGCGTGGTCGTGATTATGATGATTATCATGTAAGTTTTAATTTTTTTTTTCTTTCTATCTATTAATTTGTTTTTTATTTTCAAATTCCAAATTTACCCCTACCTATTGAAACCCAAAAAAATTATTAATCATGCGGTTACAATCCTATCCTTCTCGTGCTTTGGTCAATTTGAATATTATATAAAGTTTGTTACAGGTTATTAATCCTATAGTGATAATATTTTCTCTCATTTTTATCATTGTTTATATAAAATAAATAGTGATTTATAATTGAGTAAATTACACGAATGGTCCCTATGGTTTGGGGTAATTTGCACGTTTGGTCTCTAATTTATTTTTTTTAACTCGGATTTGTTTTTGTTGCGCGCTTGGTTCCTGTCTTAACTAAAAAAGACTATTTTGCCATTGATTTTTTAATTTATTTAAATAATGTGGAGTAGGTAAGGTAAGGTAAGGTGAGATGAAAGTGGGGTTGGGGTGTGTTTATTTAAATAAATTAAAAACTCAAGGGCAAAATAGTCTTTTTAGGTAAGATAGGGACCAAACACGTAACAAAAACAAACAGTAGGGACCTTCCGAGTTAAAAAAATAAGTTAAGGGACCAAACGTGCAAGTTACCCCAAACCATGTCATTTCCAAACTGAAGGGTAAAATTGTCAATTACACACGTTCCAACAGTCCAAAAAGATAAACAAACTGTTTCCATTTTGAATGGGTAATAAATTAATAATGTTTGTTTGGATAATTTGTTGTATACATAATTTTTTTTTTCTTAATAGTCTGAGTGAAACTAAATGACCATTTTATCTTTATATTACAAAAAAAAATCATAATGTTCATCAATTTTTTAATAATCAATTAAGTCATTTTGTTTATATCAAGTAAAAAAAGAAACAACTATATCTAACTGTAGATATTAAGTGTTTAACCCATTAAGTATAAAAAAAGAAACAAATTTCTCGAATCACAAATAAAATATATCATCTCATTGCTTTGGAAAATGTTTATTGATGATGTAGGATGAGCTATGAGATGTGGTGATGCATGGTCTTCAAAGTGTGGATTATTGCAATTCTGATTTTCATCGTATTATAATTATTGTAACGCTTAAATTGCTCACTTGTACCATTTTAATACCACTTTTATCATCCCACTTGATACTACTTTATGCCTATATGAGCCAGATAGATTGCACTTATTTTTGTGTGGAATGATATTGTTAATGCAAATTAATCTCAGAATTTAAAACTCGGTGTTTTATGTTATGATCTTTGTATTTTACTCTAATAAACATGAGATGCAAAATTCCATGAGTAGTTTTAGAGAAAAGTAAAAGATCAAATGCCATGAAAGCATACGAAAATATGTATCAAAGAAAAACGACACTATTGAACCTGTGTTGGTCAAAATTAACAAAATAGTCAATGTTAAGCTTGGTCAAACTTGTTTGTTCATTGGGCTATGCGGTTTAAAATCGGTCAAAATAGTCAATGAGTAAGATGGTCAAAATTAACAAAATAGTCAAACTAAGTCAACAAAAGGGAAAAAAAATATTCTTTGTATACCTATAGTTCTCTCTCCTGTACTATTTTCCTTTTACATTGAGTGATACTAGTAATCGTATTGATGTTTGTCATCATGTCACTTAAAAAGTATAGAGGCCAAACATTTACATCATTATTGATTCTTATATCATTTGAGGACAAAAAAATCAGATGTTACATCAGAAACCTCATTACAAGCTGCCTACTTACTCTCAATATGAACATTCAACCTAAGACTACCGCTATTTCAAAGAACAATAGAGAAAATAATGAAACCCTAATGTTTTCACAACAAAACCAAGTATCCAATTACAGATGTTCTAGAAGATAGACACTTAGCCCAGTCAGCAACCACACAACTAGTCAACGAAAAGAATCTAAGCAAACGAAAAGAAATATCCTTTCTTTGATTAAACTTAAAATATCTAAGCAAACGAAAATAAATTTTCAAATGAGACTTATGCATAATCTGATCAAGAATCTAAACGCTATAAGATATATCAGGCCTTGTTATAGTTACGTAAATTAATTTTCCAACTAACTTTTGAAATTCAGTGATATTATCAAGCATTTCATCTTCATTGTCACTATCTCAATTTGCAACAAAGTTTGCTTTCAAAGGAGTTTTAATATGTTTACAACCCAACATCCCAAATTCATGTAGCAATTCGAGACAATACTTTCTTTGGTTAAGACACAAACAATTATTAATATCTATAACTTCAATTCCAACAAAGTAACTCAATTTCCCAAGATCTTTAATTAGAAACTAAGTTTTAAGAAAGTTTTTAACCTTTTCAAATTCATTACTATCAGTACCAGTCAATACATCAACATAAACAAGAACAACAATAACAAAGTTATTGCTATTTCTAATAAATAGAGAATAATCAGTAACAGTCTATTGAAATCTAAAACTAAACAAAGAATTACATACCTTTTCATTCCATTTCCTAAGTGTTTGTTTTAAACCATATAAAGATTTAACAAGTTTACAAACTCTTGTTTCACCTCGAGTGTGATATCCCTAAGGAAGTGTCAAGCATACATCCTTAGAAAGATCACCATAAGGAAAAACATTATTGATATCCAACTAAAAAATAGACCAATAGTTATTAACAATTAATGAAATTACAATACGAAAAATTACAATCTTTGCTGCAGGAGAGAAACTTTCATGATAATCAACCTCCTCTCGCTGATTATAACCCTTTGCTACTAATCTAGCTTTATATCTTTCAAGTTCTCCATTAGGTTTATATTTTATTTTATACACTCATTTACATCCAGTTGGTTTACGATTTTTTTTGGTAATGCTATTATATCCCATGTATGATTACGATAAAGTGCATCCATTTCATCATGCATGTCCTTCATCCAGTTAGAATCTAACGAAGCTTCTTCATAATTTTTAGGTTCAACAACTTTGTTTAAGTTGGAAACAAAGCATTTATTTTCATTATTAAGACAAGCATAGAATTTAGTTCTTTCTATAACATATTTATCCCCTTACCCTTCAACTATATAACCATTAAATTTTACTGGCATATGTAACTCTCTCCTAGACCTAGAGGACCCCAAAGATTGGCCAAGGAAAATGTAACACCCCGTTTATTCAATAAATAAATAAATAAATTAATGATTGTATAATAGTCCTAAAATCAATAATTATATAGCATGGTGTTAGATTCGAGGAGTTAATTGGCACAATTTAGAAGTTAGGAGTTCAAAATGTAAGTTTCAGGACTTATTTGTTAAGATTTTTAGAAGACAAGGGGTGTTTGGTAAGTATTGGACCTAGTATGAAAGGATTTTAAGTGGGGGTATGCATGGTAATTATTAGGACTTAATATGGAAGGAATTATGGAATCAAGGGCCAAAGGGGTTAATTATGGATTTAAATTGTAAAGTTTTTAGGAAGCTGGGGGCTAAAAGGTAAAATTTAGATTTAAATTGGAAAAACTCTAGTGGGGAGGGGCCGATATTGGCAAAGTGGCCAGAAGTTTGTGAAACAGGGGTGAACCCATCACCCTCATGTGTGCAGTCTCCATATATAACCCATGCCATATTAACCATAACCCTAATTGATAAACCATCTGCCACCTTCCATTCTTCTATTTTTCCGGTGCCGCCACCACCGTGTCGAGGTCGCAAGTCAGTCGCCGAAGCCTATCCTCCCTACGTCGGAATGAAAGCATGTATGTCAGAGGATTGATTGCTGCTGTGAGACACCGGACCTCAGCCTCCATTACCATCGCTCCTCCATCGTTCTCCTTCTTCACTTCCGACAACCGCCATCATCGGAGTTGCCCAACTGTCATCCGGTCACGAGCAACCCAAATGCCAATGGAAGCCGTAACCACCGCTATGCGTGCGCTGCTACTGATGCCTTTCGACGATGACAAGGCCGCTGCCTGCTACCTTGATGATGTGTGCCTTCACGATGTGGTTGCCGACACCGTAACCGAATCGTGAAGGTGCCGCCGCCACCTCCCTTGTTCCTGTTGTATCATCACAGGTTCGCTGCTGTCGGAGATTCCGTGAACCGTAATGACTGACCATTGCTGCCGCTGTGAGGTGGTGGTTGCAATCGCCATCTGCCGCCAGGTGGGTGGCTAGGTTCGTATTGTAATAAGTTAGGGCGTATGTGTGTTATTTCAGTGATGTATGATTGGGTTTGTTGGCTAGATAGATCAAGAAAGCCACTGTCACCACCGTGAGGTGGTGGCTGCCGCCTTGTACTGCCGCTGGCCACCACTAGAGTGGATGTGTGTGTTAGACTAGTTAGTGTGTGTGTTTATTTATGGATTGAAATCTTGTAATTGTAATTAGTAGAAGATGTAATGAAGTAGCCTTAACCACCACCGTAAGGTGGTGGCCGCCACCGTGAGCCGCCATTAACCACCACTACCCGAGGTGGTAATGGGTGGTGCCCCCTAGCAAAACCCTAATGGACCTAGCAAAACCCTAATGGGTTTGAAGATTAATTTTGGTCATATTGGGCCATGTTTGGGTGGAAACCCTAATTAGGGTTTAGAAAACCCTAATTGTGAGTATTTGGGCCTTGGACTTATTGGGACCCACCTTTGTGCCATTGGGATTGGATTGTGTATTAAGCCCAAATTATTCCATATCATTTATCTAGTAGAGTAAAGGACTTAATGGATTAAGTCCTTAATGGGTTAAGTGGGAAACACTTAACGCTAATCGTCATTTTATGTGAAACCCTAATTTCACTTGGCTTCATGTTGGGCCTTCCTATTGGGCTTTGGTGTTTGAGCTAATAATGGGCCATCCATGATCAATCATTGGACTGGAATATTTAGATGGGCTTTAAGGTAAGGCCCATATGAGGGTGTGGGCCCAATTTGGAAAATTGGGCCATAAACGGGCCATAGTTTGGGCATTAATGGTTATATGATATTGGGCCATTAGAAATATCAAATGTTTGGACTGGACTAAGTACTTGAGCCTTTAATTATAGCCATGCAAAGGTTTGGGCCCAATTTGGAAAATTGGGCTATATGTTGGGCTTTGACTCATAGTTGACTATTGGGCCTTGGGATTGGATCAAGCTAAGATTGGGGTAAAGCAGTATTTTACCCCAATCATGAACTTATGAGTATATGTGACGGAACCCAATTGTTAATTGGGTGTTATTTTGATGTTGACAGATTCGGGAATCTGTCATCCAACAACTAGGATTTTATCAGTAGGACTTCAGCAGTGTGAGGTGAGTTTTTCCTCCAGTAGGAACAGGTTTAAGGCACCAATGCCAACCTGTTTATGTAGTTGTAGTATGCCGAGGTAAGCCTGATGCTGGGGTTAGCCCGATGCAGTTTACATGTTTCCGGACTTTGGTCTGATGCCGGGGTGGTCCCGAGAAGTAGTTATGTATGCTTGATGTCTTTGTGATTCATGCATGTTTATGTTATGTGTTATATGTTCTGGACTTCGGTTCGATTCAGGGCAAGCCCGATGCAGTATATGTGATTATGTTATATGTTCATGTTTTTTCCAGACTTCGGTCCGATGTCGAGTGGGGCCCGATGTAGTGGTCAGTGTTCTAAAAGGCGCGCCATGGCACGCGCCAAGGCGCGCCATGGTGTGAGGCGTGGCTTCACCGTTACGAAAAACCTTATAACGTTGGTGTTAGGCGTGGCGTGTGGCAAGGCGCAATGTGGCGCGCCATGGCGTGTTATGACGTGTGTTTTTTCATTTGAGATAGTTTTTTGCTATTTGTTATGTCTTTTCTAATCGGAGATACAAGTATTTTGGTTTTTGTTAACTTTTTGTCATTAGTTATTGAACTAATATTGCTAAAAGTAGTTATATTTAATATAAATTTATATTTATGTGGTAATATAATTTTAAATTAATACAAAATTCTCGCCTTACATCACGCCTTGAATAAACGCCATGGCTCGTTAAGCTTGAGGCTTGGCCTTGCCGCCACGCCACGCCTCACACCATTTAACCTTGGTAGTGGGCGTCCCCAAGTTATTCTGGACTTTGGTCTGATGCCGGGCGGGCCCGATGCAGTGGGTAGGGACCAAGTTATTCCGGACTTCGGTTTGATGCCGGGAGGGGCCCGATGCAGTGGGAGGGGCCCAAGTTATTTCGGACTTCAGTGTGATGCCGGGTGGGGCCCGATGCAGTGGGCAAGGCCCATTATTTGTTATATGTGCTTTTGTATGGTATGTGGTAGTTTGGGGCAGCTCACTGAGCTTCGTGCTTACAGTTTTCAGTTTTGGTTTTAGGTACTTCATCTAGCAAAAGGAAGGGCCCGGGATGACTGCATGGCACACACCACAATTTTCTTAGCCTGGGAGTTTACTCTGATAATTTATTTGAGATTGTGATATGTTGACAGATTTTATGAGACCTTGAGATATATGTTTTATGATTTTATACTATGATGATAGTTATGTGTGAAAACCCGAACTTCGTTCCATCAATTGTAACCTTTTTCGTTAATATATATTCGTCGTTTTCGATTTCGTTTCCGTTACGTCATTTAATTAAGTCATAATTGTGGGACTTCTATTATGACTTAATGAGTGTCTAAACAAGTTTAGAACTCACATTAACACTTCGTATTAGTAATCGGAAATATTTTAGAATCGACCATATCGGGTTACGGTAACGTAATCGGGTGTGACCAAAAGCACCGTATAATGCTGGTATCGGGTAGAATTCCACCATGTCCAAAACTTAGAACCTATTTAAAGAGGTTTAAGCTTCCATTTGAAGCTTTTTCTTTCTCTCACTACTCTCTCTAACCTCTCTCCTCAATCCAAATTCAAGGTCCAAAAACATTGATTTAAGGCTTCAAATCCTTAAGGTAACTTCCTTAACTTGTTATTCAAACTCTTTATCCTTCAAATCCAAGTTTAAACATTGATTTAGGACCATCTTCATGAGTTTATGGCCCTGGAGCATGCTTGGGCCGTAAACTCAAATAAATTGGGTTTTTGAGCCTTAAAACCCCTCCAAACCAAGTTTGGGACTTAGATATGACTTTATGGCTTGCTAGTTCGGACTTAGAACACGTTAAACATGGTTTTTGAGGAGTAAACATGAGTTTAATTCCCAAGAACAAGCATGGGCCGTAAAATCATCATTCATGGATAGTAAACTCAAAACCAAGTGTTTAAAAGCCATTTAAACACACCATTAGCCTTGGAATAAATCCTAGAATCAACCACAACCAGTTTGGAGGCCTTAAACATGATGAAATCCCCTCATTTGAGTGTTCACGGCCGTAAACTCCCCAAGAATGAGTTCCTGGGCCATGAACTCACTTACACAAGTCATATGATGCTTAAATCTCATTCCAGGGCTTGGATAAATTGTTAGAAACACATGTGATTAGTCTAAGGCCATTAAATCAACAATTAAAGGGGGGTATAGGAGCTTACAGCCATAAACTCCATGTTTATGGCCGTAAACTCCCTTTGATGGTGTTATTGGTGATTTAATTCATTCCTAAGCCTTAGATAAATTCATCCCAACATTTCCCCAAGTGTTTCAAGGCCATTTAGCATCCAAAAACACCACTTATGAGTTCACGACCGTGAACTCATGTGGGTGTGGTGTTTAGGGCCGTAAACTCCCTAAGGAGTTTACTCTAGAAGTCCCAACTCATTATCTAAGCCATACACGTCCGTAGATGTCACCCGGGTCACTCCAAACACTTGATTTGAAGTGTTTTCGCTCATTGGAGTGTATTATCACATCTAATTAGTGTTTTAAAGTCTAATTAGATACCTTTGGATACCATTTCATATTACATGGGAACTTCGCATGTAATCAAGCCCCGAACCAACACTTAGCATCCAAACCGTCGCGTTTTCTCGTCTGGTGAGTTCATACCCCTACCCATTTTCAATGTTTTCACTGTTTTCAAGGGGGGAATATGTCACACCCCCAAACCAGAATGGCGGAAATATTTGGGGGTGGATAACTTCATGTAGTATCACAATAATTGAATATTGTAAAGAAAGTAACACAATCACCACATATATAATGAAAACAAGTGGTTTTGAAAAAGTGTCAGCAATTAAGTTGGTGAGTTCATGAATTGTTTTGCATTGAAAAGTGTGTCCTTTTTAGTAGTAAATCGATGAACGAGGTTTTCAGAAAATCCAATATTTTCTATAAATGGTTTGAATAGTTTTCAGAATTAGTATGTTCCATACTAGAATAATAATGATAACTGTGTGCCAAAATGATGTAGAAAAACTGAATGCATAATGATTCTCGTAAATCAAACTTGTTTTTTTATACTTTTATGTGAGTTTTATAACCATACTATTGACATTGATGGCCTGTAACAACATTCTTCAGGTGTTGTAGTGTTATGACATTTGTCACCCCAGACCTGCCGGTCTAACTATAGCTAATAGTTTAGGTGCGGGATTGTCAATCCCGTATAGATCTATACACAAGTATCACGCTCTCCCTCCAAGAGATTATGGTATATAATACAGGACTTAAAATGCATACTCGAACGTATGTGAAGTTTGAATGTCTCACATTGCTTGGTATAAACAGATTTACGGTAATAAAGACTTTAATTCTTTTGAAAGTATTTCATTTGTCAAGATATATATGTATGATGTACAAATAACTTGATAACTATATCCATTATAGTTTCTCAAAAAGTATGTTTCCATTTTTGTAAGAACAACTTAGTGTTATAATAGCCCTTTAAACATAAAGATATTTGTATCAAAGCCCTATAAGAAAGGTATTATAACTATGTTTATAAAATGATACTTTGATTTGTAATGTACTTGTATTCCCCCTTAAAACGTGAAAAGAATTGAAAAGTAGGGGTATGAACTCACTCGTTAAGTTTGAAGAGAGAGGCTAGGGTTGAGCAGAACTTCGACCGCGGATAGTTGCGTCGTCGACTTCTTCGGGGATCTCTGCAGCGTAAATCTTTCGTCGGGGGCTCGAGGACGGAAACCGAGGTGAGGGAATGGTCTTTGGTGCTTGGAAGTGTGTGAGAGTAACTGGAGATTTGAGAAAGTGTGCCTAAACTCGCAGCTGATGCCATCTATTTATAGTGCTGGGAGAGTGAGTACGCGGGGCGTAATTTTGGAGTACGCGGAGTGTACTCACGTACGCAGCGCGTACCTCGTTACGCTGGGCGTAAGAATGCTTCATGGCTTACGACTCCTGGCTAGATAAGCATAGAGTGGGCGGGCCGATGGGACTCGACTCTGGGTCTAGTACGCGGGGCGTACTCCCAGAGAACGCGGGGCGTAATCTGGCCT